CCCCTTCCCCAGGGCAGGGGGCGGCTCCCCGGGCCTCACGGGCAGCTCTAACCGCCCACCCGCGGCCGCCGAGGGGCTCGGTGCGGGGGCGGGCCCAGCCGTGCCCCGGCATTTACCTTCCCGGTACTTCCTGCGCAGCCGCCGGTGGACGCTCTTCACCACCCCGGAGAGCTTCTCCTGCTCTAGCTTCCTCTCCTGCTCCGGGGGCTGGGTCAGGGCCGTGGCAGCGGCAGCCCCGGGCCGCGGCTCGGGCTCCATGGTGCTACCGCGGCTCCTCCCCCCTCAGCACGCAGCCGGCCGCGAGGTGAGAGCGCTGCGCTCTGCTCTGTCTCTATGGCAGGTCGGAGCCAGCACCGGGCATGCGTGTCATGTGATGTCCCGCGTTGCCTGCTGGGAAGTGTAGTCCTCAGTCATTGACAGCACAGGGGCAGTCTCTCGCTCACAGGCCAGGGTCGGAGGCGGAGCTGCCTGAAGCCAGTCTTGTATGCAGTGCAGTGGTGTGGGTCCCAGCACCTTAGAGAGACAACGTGGGTGAGATAATATCTTGTATTGGACCAATTTCTCTTGGTGAGAGAAACAAGCTCCTGAGCTACACAGAGCTTCTCTTAGGTCTGGGACTGGTACGCTGAGGTCACAGCTAAATGCAAGGTGGAGCAGATTGATAGCATAAGTAGTTAGCCCATGTAACGGATGGTTCAAGGTGAAGTGGCCTGTTAACACCTTTGCAGTCATAGGACAAAAGGGGGAATTAGTGGACTACAGATTGTTATAATAAGCCATAAATCCGATGTCTCTAGTCAGTCCATTATTTTTAGTGGCCAGCAGAGTTATGAATTTAAGCTCCCAAGCTCATCCTTTGAAAGTGTTGTACAGGTTTCCTTTGAGGATGAGTACTGATAGCTCAGCTATCAAGTGATTGCTTTGTGAAAAGTGTTCACACACAGGTAATAGAGTTTTTGTCTTCTATTATTTTCCTGTTTCAGAGTGGTAGCCATGTTAGTCTGTATCAGCAAAAAGAACGAGGAGTCCTTGTGGCACCTTAGAGACTAACCAATGTATTTGAGCATAAGCTTTCGTGGGCTAAAATCCACTTCATCAGAGGCATGCACTAGAAAATACAGTAGGAAGACACATATACACAGAGAACATGAAAAAATTGGTGTTGCCATACTAAAACTACAACAAGAGTAATCCATTAAGGTGGGGTATTATCAACAGGAGAGAAAAAACTTTTGTAGTGATAATCAGGATGGCCCATTTCCAACAGTTGACAAGAAGTTGTGAGTAACAGTGTGTGTGTGTGTGGGGGGGGAATTAGCATGGGGAAATAGTTTTTAGTTTGTGTAATGACCCATCCACTCCCAGTCTTTATTCAAGCCTAATTTAATGGTGTCTACTTTGTAAATTAATTCTAATTCTGGAGTTTCTCATTGGAGTCTGTCTATGAAGTTTTTTTGTTGGAGTATTGCGACTTTGAGGTCTGTAATTGAGTGACCAGGGAGGTTGAAGTGTTCTCAGACTGTTTTTTGATTATTATAATTCTTGACATCTGATTTGTGTCCATTTATTCTTTTGCATAGAGACTGTCCAGTTTGGCCAATGCACATGGCAGGAGAGGCATTGCTGGCACATATCACATTGGTAGATGTGCAGGTGAACGAGCCTCTGATAGTGTGGCTGATGTGATTAGGTCCTATGATGGTGTCCCCTGAATAGATATGTGGTCAGAGTTGGCAACAGGCTTTGTTGCAAGGATAGGTTCCTGTGTTAGTGTTTTTGTTTTGTGGTGTGTGGTTGCTAGTGAGTATTTGCTTCAGGTTGGGGGGCTGTCTTCCAAGATCTGTCAGGGTGAGGAATTGTCCTTCAGGATAGGTTGTAAATCCTTGATGATGCTCTGGAGAGGTTTTAGTTGGGGGCTGAAGGTGATGGCTAGTGGCGTTCTGTTACTTTCTTTGTTGGGCCTGTCCTGTAGTAGGTGACTTCTGGGTACTCTTCTGTTCCTGTCATTCTGTTTCTTCACTTCAGCAGGTGGGTATTGTAGTTGTAAGAATGCTTGATAAAGATCTTGTAGGTGTTTGTCTCCGTCTGAGATGTTGGAGCAAATGCGGTTGTATCTTAGAGCTTGGCTGTAGACAATGGATCATATGGTGTGGTCTGGATGAAACCTGGAGGCATGTACATAAATATAGCAGTCAGTAGGTTTCTGGTATCGGGTGGTGTTTATGTGACCATTGCTTATTAGCACTCTAGTGTCCAGGAAGTGGATCTCTTGTGTGGACTGGTCCAGGCTAAGGTTGATGGTGGGATGGAAATTGTTGAAATCATGGTGGAATTCCTCAAGGGCTTCTTTTCCGTGGGTCCAGATGATGAAGATAGTGCAAGTAGAATAGGGGCATTAGGGGACGAGAACTGAGGAAGCGTTGTTCTAAGTCAGCCCACCTTAATTGATTACTCTTGTTATAGTTAGTATGGCAACACCCATTTTTTCATGTTCTCTATGTATATATATCTTCCTGCTGTATTTTCCACTGCATGCCTCCGATGAAGTGGGTTTTAGCCCACGAAAGCTTATGCTCAAATACATTTGTTAGTCTCTAAGGTGCCACAAGTACTCCTTGTTCTTTTTATTATTTTCCTGTGTGAGTTCATTCGAGAGCCTAGTGATTGTCTGGTTTCACCCACATAGTTGTTATTGGGGCAGTTAGTGCACTGGATGAGGTACACCACATGTTGTGATAGGCATGTGGAGGACCCATGCATCTTGAAAGGTGTGTTGAGGGGGCAGGTGAGAGTGTTGATCATTATAGCAGTGGAGATATGTCTGCAGGTTTTGCATCTATTGTTCTGGCAGGGTCAGCTGGCACTTTAAGTTCTATGGGGAACTTGCTTCTGATTATGAGCTTGGAGAGGTTAGGGGGTTGCTTGAAGGACAGGAGAGACGGTTCAGGAAAGATTTCTTTCAGGGTGGGGTCTATGATGCCGTATGGTTGAAAAGACCATTTGTATCAGTGTTGCTATCAGTGTATACATTTGTAACAAAATTTATACAAAGTGTATCTTATAAAATACAAGTTGAAATGTTATGATTTGCTAAGTATGATTATCCTGTTTATATGCAGATATTATCTATGTATCTGAAGTTATGAATATTGGCTATGTATCTGTGTCTTACATAAGTGTTATGTGCCTGTATGATGCACCCCCCCCTCCCCCGATAGCTATCTAATTATGATGTAAATCTATGTGTTGATGGCCCATTAAGGACACTCCACTCTCACACTGGGCCACTGAAGAAACTCATCCTGTCCAGACAGCTCTTCTTGCAGATGCCTCAGACAACAAGTAGCCAATGGCCACCTCCTGTAATTTAAGGCATGGCTACACTTGCAAGTTAGAGCGCATTAAAGCAGCCCCGGGCATTCTAACTCATGACGCGTCCATACTGGCAAGGCATATAGAGCGCTCTGACTCTGCGGCTAGAGCACTCCTGGTAATCCACCTCGGTGAGTGGAATATTTGATGTGTCCCTGCTGGAGCGCCGCGGCGCCAGTGTGGATGCCCTGGTCTGTTAATGCGCTCTGATCATCTCCCAGAAGTGTTCCACAATGCCTGTTCTAGCCACTCTGGTCATCACTTTGAACTCTACTGCCCTGCCCTCAGGTGACCAACCATCAGATCCGCCCTTTAAATTCTCTGGGAATTTTGAAAATCCCCTTCCTGTTTGCTCAGCCGGGTGTGGAGTGCTCTCAGCGAATCTTTCCCGGTGACCAGGCGATCCCCAGTATGGAGCAATGGCAAGATGCTGGACCTCATCAGTGTTTGGGGGGAGGACGCTGTCCAGTCCCAGCTGTGCTCCAGCTGTAGGAATTATGATACCCTTGGGCAGATATCAAGGGACATGATGGAAAGGGGCCATGAGTGGGACGCACTACAGTGCAGGGTTAAAGCGAAGGAGCTGCAGAATGCCTACTGCAAAGCCCACGAGGCAAACTGCCACTCCAGTGCTGCCCCCTCGACCTGCCATTTCTACAAAGAGCTGAACGCGATACTTGGGGCGACCCCACCTCCACTCCGAGTACCACCATGGACACTTCCGAGCCCAGTTCAACAAGGCAGGAGGAGGAGAAAAGAGGGAGCGAGGGTGCTAAGGAGGAGGAAGACACCTCGGCATCCTTAGATGCATGCAGCCAGGAGCTGTCTTCAAGCCAGAAGGAAGGTAGCCAGTCATGGCGGCTGGTGCTTGGGGAAAGACAAACACCAGAGGAGGTGCCTGGTAAGCAGTTTTTATTTTGGGAAGGAAGTTATTCAGTACGGGCTCTTGGGGTGAGGAGGGTTAGGGTTGCATGCATGCCTAGACGCATTGATGTGCTCTCTCACATCGCGGTAATTGGCCTCAGTGATCTCTTCAAAGGTCTCATCCAGAACTTGGGCAATGCGCATGTGCAGGTTTCTTGGGAGAGCCACTGAGGCCTTGTCCCAGTCAGGCTAACATGTCCGTGCCACTGTGCCATGAGGGGCGGGGGGACCATTGCTGCACACTGGCAAGCTGCATATGGGCCAGGGCGGAAGCCGCATTGTAGTAGAAGACCCTCCCTTGCTTCCCTCAGCAGCGAGATATCTTCCAGGACAAACTCCTGAGGAAAATGTGGGGACAGCGTTCAGTATAGGGGCTGCCTGCAGCTGTTGGCTCTCCCCAAGGCACAGAAACCCAGAGGACAGTACGGCCATGAAACAATCAGTCCCCCTTGACCCTGTGCTTACTCGCCATTTTGGGGCTCCCGTGGGTTATGTCCACTCTGCTTTGGGATGGGCAAATTATGCTATTGTGTAGACTGTGCTTGCCTTTAAGTACGGGGGAATCATTGCTCTGTCTGGTGTGAACAATGCTGCCTCTGTTAAGTGTTGCATTTTGCCTTTACAGATGCAACCTTGAGATCTCAGCCGTCCGTGTTATCACCGGCCAAAAGACTCCAAAGAATTAGGAAGAGGCTATGTAGAAGCAAAGAAGACATGCTGCATGAAGTAATGCAGCAGTCTCTTAACGAGAATCTAAAAGCACAGGAGTGGTGGGAGAGTGAAAGGAGGATCCGTCAGCAGAATGAGGAGCGCCGGCACAAAAGCTTGGAGCTCTGGCAGCAAAGCACGGATCGGCTGATAAGCATCATGGAGCGCCAAGCAGACTCAATCCAGGCGCTTGTAGCCATGCAGGCAGAGCACTACCGCGACCAGCCCCCCTTGCAGCCCTTGTCCCAAAACTCTTTCCTTTGTGTCCCCATGTAACCTCCAACCTACTTTCCCCAACATTCGGGTTCTTATTGCCACCACCTGCCTCCAACACCTGTAGCTTCACCACTCAGCCCTGAAAACTATGACTCTTACCCACTGCACTCAACCCCCATCAACATGCATTATAGCCATCCTGAAGTGCAGCACTCATTGCACAGCACTCCAGACAGGAAGGCTGAGTATGATAACAGGACATATGCAAATCTGTGATTGTACCGTTCCCCACCCCACCCCCTTGCCC